CAACTTTGATTTCTTGCCTATAGCCAACCTGTCGACTCTTCGAAGGGATCGACCTTCCCTTTGTTTCTATCTATGACTTAGGATCTATGAGTTATATCCAGATGTTAAATCTTAAGAAAATCTTACAGGAAAACTTATATTTACTAAAAATAAGTCTGGTAAGAAAGATATAGGATCTGTAATTGCTGGACTTTTCCTTATATTCCAACCAAAAGAGGTAAGTTCATTCTTACCGATCTCAATACCCTCCATGCCAAAAAATGATGTATTTAAAAATAAATCAAATGGCAAGCAAAAATTATTTTGTTGTACTTTTATCATGTAAGTGTCCTGATTCTCTGCTTGGCAGAAGAAGAATCAGAGTTCTGACCAAATGTATTACAGGATTAAGAAATAAACATTTTCCTAGGAGAATACTAAAATCTCTTTTCCTTCAGAAATGAAAGCATTTGGGGCACCTGGGTGACTCAGTGGGTTAAGCTTCTGCCCTTAACTCAGGTCATGGTCTCAGGGTCCTTGGATGGAGCCCCTATCAGGCTCTCTGTTCAGGAGGGAGCTTGCTTCCCCCCACCCTCTGCCTGCCTCCCTCTGCCTTTTTGTGATCTCTTTCTCGTCAAATAAATAAACAAAAAATATTGAAAAAAAAAAAAAAGAAATGGAAGCATATTACATGGAAACAAAAGTTAGTGTATTTCTTTTAAGGGAAATTCTATAGAAGGAAAATTTTGGCAAACAACAAAAAACAGTGTTAAATTTACATATATAAATGTACACATTTAGGACATTTTAAATTTACCATTACATCTTCCCCTGTAACTGCTCAGTCCTTTACATTCCAGCACTAGAGTTCTCCCCAGAGGGTCACCAATATCACCTTCCTTGTAGGTCCCATTCCTCTTGCTTTGCCTATAGCATATGGTACTACAGAATTCTAGATCTTTCTAGAATTCTCTCTTCCCATAACCTTTTCTGACACTGCTCCCTCTAATTCTGACCATTTCTCTGTTCCCTTTACTCCTCTTTTCTCTTTCTCCCAAAATATGACCATTCACTAAGATGTGAACTTTCAATTTTTATTTTTTCTGTTTTCACTAGTTCATTGTTGTCCACAGTTTTAGCTTTATCTATATGCAATAATTACAAAATCTGTACCATTGTTAAGCTCCAGATTTGCATTTTCTGCTGCAGGCTCCTTATAATCATCATGGATATGTTTCTATCAAATCAAACTTAAACTCCTGGGTTTATTTCTCCCATGTGTTCTTTCTTCATCTTTCTCATTATCTTTAATGCCATCACCATGGTCTACAATATTTACTGTCATCTTCAATTATTCCTTCTTCTTAACCTGTGGATTTCTCTTCCTTGGTTTACCTGCATTCCCTTCCATCAATCTTTACTTCTATTCATTGGATTTACTCCCTCACTCCCTCTTAGAAAAGTCTACCAGACTCTATTTGCAAATCTCTTCTAGTCTATTCCACATTCTACTGCCAGAGGACTCTTCATAAACCCCAGTTTTCATCCCATTCGTACCTGGGACAGTGCTAATCTCTTCAATAGCGATTAGGGTGGCATGTGCCCAGTAAATACCTACCCAAAACCAAACCAATCCTTTAGGGTCCACCTCAAATGCCATTGCATCTGCGCTAACTTCTCAATCTCCCAAATCAAAGCTATCTATCCCATATTCTATGTTCCCAATAGCTTTCTTTTGTCCTTTCTCCAATGCCTTCAGGTGTTAAGCCTACCCGTTGTATGTTGACATCTTCATGCAAGCACCATTAAGGTGTCTTTGAACAGAATTACCTTTGAATCCCCCACAGTGCCCTAAAAAGGTAAGCCCTTATTACGTGCTTACTGAATTGACCATTCACAACAAAATACAGTAACTATATGATTATGGCACATTATTATATACTGCAACTAACAAATTTGAAATCTGTAGTTTTTGAGCAAAATTTTGAAATGCTTACTATAATTCTAAATGGTATAGTCCTTACAGAACTGAAAAATAATGCTTTTAGGCTTTAGCACACCTACAGTTTATTTTTGTAACATAGTCCTTAGTTTCAGGACTCTGCATTATTTCATTTGTGTTGTAAGAGTGTAATAGAAGCAAAGTTATAAAAAAAATTTTAGATTTTGATAATATTAGAAATTTTATAACATTTACATTGAGACAGAGAATAATCATGATAAAAATAACACTTTCAGGGCGCCTGGGTGGCTCAGTGGGTTAAAGCCTCTGCCTTCAGCTCAGGTCATGATCTCAGGGTCCTAGGTTTGAGCCCCGCATTGGACTCTCTGCTCAGCAGGGAGCCTGCTTCCCCCTCTCTCTCTGCCTGCCTCTCTGCCTACTTGTGATCTTTGTCAAATGAATAAATGAAATCTTTTTAAAAAATAACACTTTCTACTGAGGATTTACTTTGTTCTGGGCACTGCTTTCAATATTTAAACTTCTTAATCTTTATGAACCCTATAAAATAAGTTATCCTTATTTTTGAGTTGGAAAATCAAGCCACATGAGTCACATAATTTACTTGAGGTCATAGAGCTAGTGTATGGCAGAACCCCAAATTTAAATCCTGGCATCCTGGCTTATCATGCTTCCCCTAAATATATGAATAAGCTCTTATTTTTAAAAGTCGATTAATCTGTGCATCTCATGGCTTTCAGAGACTATGAGAAGTTTCCAAGTTCTATCTTCCAAGGATAAAGAGTTAAAATTCAGAAGACTTAGATTAGTTTCATTTCACTACTTTTCCAGTGGACAGGAGTGGCCTTCAGTGTGCTCACCAGTAGCTAAAATGGGAGCTGCACAGAGCCCTCACCTATGGTATCTTCCATGCCACAGAAACCAATTACTACAATCAAGGTGGATGCTGTTAACACACTTGTTATCACTGGTGTGTTGACCTGGCAGGATCTATTCTATAGACATTTATCCAGCTTTTCTCTTCCCATCCAGTCTCTGCATTTTCCATGAAATGGAAAATGGGCCCATCCAGTCTCTGCATTTTCCATGAAAAGACAGACTGAATCTCATCTAGAGTAGAGTGCTTGTACTAGTGGTAGAAACTATGGCACATGCAGTGCAGACAGGAGATGCAGCGGTATGCAGTGAGGGAGAGACTTGAGGGAGGAGTAGTTACTGAAAGTGTTATTGGAAGTGATGTCATAAGGAAGATGAATTAGACTGAGGATAGCCCCAACTGTTGAATAGAGGCCACAGAGAGATATTCTGGATCAATATAAGAAATCACCCTTTGAAAGAGGTCTCTAAACATGGATTTGCCTGAGAAGTGGTAGCTCCCCTACCACTAAAGGTATCAAACTTGAGTTGGATAAACACTTGGGAAGAATATTACACAGAACATACTATTATTGGTTAGAAAGTCACACTAGATGACTTTTGGTTTGAAGATTCATTTATTTCCTTATTTGGGAGAGAAAGAGAGACAGTGGAGGGAGGTGCAGAGGGAGAGGTAGAAGCAGATTTGGCACGGAGCACAGAGCCCAGTGCAGGGCTCAATCCCATGACCCCAGATCACAACCCAAGCTGAGATCAAGAGTTCCATGTTCAACCAACGGAGCCACCCAGGTGCCCCACACAGATGACTTTTATGTACATTACAACCCTGGAAGTCTTGATTTCAGTTCTGCTCACTCACAGGATCACTCTATTTTCTACTATAACTCAGGCCAGTTTTCAGCTTGTGTTGTTTCTATTTTTGCTTTCCTCCAGCCTGTAAGATAGATTCCTCTTTTTTTGTTCCCTAGCCCCAAACTACATAATTTTTCCAAAAAGACACAAGGAGCCTGCCTCTATTATCCACATTCAGTAACCCTCTAATAATCTAATATACAAAAATAAATAAATAAATAAACAATGTTACAGGAGAATGGTATTTTGTACGATCTAGGTATGCCATAAATGTATGCATACATATGAAATACATATAAATATTAAAAAAACACAAAGAGTTCAGTTGTAGAGGCAATAAAACATAGTTCCTTAGAATTGGGGAGTCGTTCTCATTGATGGAAAATTTGAGGAAACAAAATTACTTGGATGAAATCGTTTGAGCCAAACAAGTTTTTTGAGAACTAAAGCAAGGCAAAACAAACAGTAGAATTGGACCTGAATACAGTTAGGGAAAAGGTATAGGGAATATTTTTATAGCTAGATAGGTTTGCGTAATATCTGTCATTCATCTAGGAGTCTCTTAACCTTCTCATATCTAGACATTTTCTTAAGGAGCACCAAGCCTTGTTTGATTGCCGAAAGAAAAACTGATTTGAAAATATACTAACTGTGGAGTGACTGAGTTATGTAGGTGTTAGTGTTAGTGATCAAGTTTGTATGAATCTAGTTTGCTCTAAGTAAAATCTATACAGGCAAAAATCTATACAAACCATTTCTTACTAAGATCTAACTTGATAACCAGTCTTTTTTTTTTAATTTCACAGACTTAGGAGCTTCTTACTAATAACAAAATAATTAATAATTACACTATTGTCTATCCAATAAAGGTAAAATATAACATCGGGGTAACCTTGTAATTCCCAGATGTCTGCCTTCAGTCCCAGAGGGCAGGCGTGAGCAGATCTAAAGCCACAAAAAGGGCCAAGAAGAAACATTCTGAGCTTTCCTAAGAAGCCACCTGAATACTTCTAATGGTCAGAACATCACTGGGAGGTAGGGTGGTTGCTGAGCTCTGGAGTTGCTCTGCATCTAATTATATTTCTTATTACGGCACAGGTGCAAAAAGGTGCAAAAAAAAACTCAGGGCTCCCACGGACCTCTTAAACTTCAGCTAATTTACTTACTTTCTGTTTGTTTAAAAATGTCAACATAGGTAGCAATCAGAGTTAGTGATTGAGGAGCAGGAGGAACCAGAAAAGACAAGTATTAAGTCCGAACTAGAGAAGGTATTGAGCTTTAGAAGTGTTGGTTTATAAAGATATATTTTTCATGTCCATTAGAACTTGCTTACCTGCTGCTAATGTCTGTCCTGTTCCTGACGCGCTGGTTACACAACCAACTGAATTGCAGAGAGAAATAGTAAAGTTGTATATCCTATAAGGTTTTAGTTCTTTTACAACGTAAGACAGTTCTTGGGATTTAGCAGTGTACAACACCTTTAAAGGAAAAAAAAATCAAATAATAGATAAACAGTGTGAGAAACATAACCTTGGCAGTCAAGAATCCATGGATCCAGTCATGTTCTATGAATTCAGACAGAGGAATTATTGCCAACAGCTATTAGGAAAGGGATTTTTTTTTTTTTTGAAGAATCTCAACAAGCTAGGATTTAATTGATAATTGTACAATCACACTGTTTTATTAGGTAATAATCCAGTTCCTGAGTGGATAAATGAGGAAACCAAGTTATTGCCTCATAAAGCAGCGTGGTGGTATGGTTATTGTCACCAATGGTAGAGATAAAGGATGGCAACATTGACATTGTTATCATGAAAAAGTCCAAATAAAACCATGGGGCTTGGCCCAAACTTAATCCGCATAGTAATGCCCACACATTATTTGTGGAGCTAGTACAGAAAAATATCACTATGTTAAATCAATTCCATCATTTTCTTGAAAGAAAAAAGCCACAAAAGAAAAAGGAAAACAAGGAAACACATTACTGAGCATCCACATGAGGTCAATTCTCAATTATCTTTCTTATATAAATAAGCATATGCAGATTAGATCAAACAGCTTCATTTTCTGAAATATTGTCTTTATCATACAATTTCAAATAAGAATAGCAGATTTGAGCAAAGGAGACTGAGAGAAACTCCATAGTCCATAAACAAATAATTAAACAACTATCACTGAGCATTGGTCCCATCATTATAACTAGAAATGATCAAAAGCAACCATGTAAGTTTACTTAGTTTATAGATACAGAAAGCACTGGAAATTATATTCAGGATAAAAGTCATTGAAACAGAGTATGACACTAAGCATTAGTATAAAACTTTTTTTCTAAGGGATGTTGATATACATTCATATCAAATAATCTTCCATAAATATAAATGCAGGTAACTGTAAAGGTTAGTAACATTTGAAGTAAGTTTCTAGATGTTTTCACTATAGAAATAAGATAAAATTCATTTGGAATATTTGCCTGGGTATTCACTTTAAAATTTCATGATCTAAATGAGTAGTTCTAGGAAACAGTGTGCATGGAATATAAACTATCATTTATAAAACATTTCTCAGAAATAAAGGTGATTTCAAAGATTATAAAAATCTAGGAATAATTTAAAACTTTGGTACTATTTCCTCACCACTATAATTGGAAATCAGAAAAAAATCAAACACCAAATTGTAAGTACTTTATATTTCTAATTCTAAAGTTGTTATTGAGGGATTGAGGATATAAAATTTTCTGTTTTGTCGAATGCTACTTTATTTTTCCACAAAAAGTAAAACTTTGAAGTGAGTAAAATTTACTGAATATTGCTATAAAACTTACTCCATTTAAAACAACCTATGTGGGATTAATGTTGATTTTTAGAAAATGGAATTGTTTTCCACATAAAATATAATAAAATGGTTCTTATTTTTAGGAAAATGTAGTGAAAATATATAGCAGAATATTATACAGCCATAAAAAGGAATGAGATCCTGACATTTATGACAACATGGATGGACCTAGAGGATATTATGCTATGTAAAATAAGTCAGTCTGAGAAAGACAAATACTATATGAGTTCACTCATATGTGAAATCTAAAAAAAAATGAATAAAAGAACAAACAAAAAGCAAAATCAGACCTGCAAATACAGAGAACAAACTGATGGTTGCCAAAGAGAAGGTGTGGAGGGATGGACAACGTGGGAGACACAGGCTTCCAGTTATGGAACCCATAAGACATGGGAATAAAAGGCACAGCAAAGAGAATATACTTAATGGTATTGTAACAGCATTGTGTGGTGACAGATGGTAGCTACATTTACGGTTAACATAACCTAACATATAGAGAAGTTGAATCATTTTGTTGTACACCTGAAACTAATGTAATATTGTATCAACTATACTCAAATGCAAAAAAAAAATTTCAAAATGAAGTATTCCCTATTTCATTTAGGATGTTGGGTCATTTTTTGAACAAACTATTCTGCAGAACAAGAACACACAAAAAAATACTACAAGAAATAGAAAATGTAGATTAATACTAATTTTGATGGACTTCTACTTCTCTACATATAGTTGTTAGCAATCACATGATTTAAAAAAAGACATTTACCTTAAAGCTTGAGCACATAAAATAATCACTCAGATAAACTTTGTCTTTATTGTATATATAGTCATTTTATAAGACTTAAAGGACCAACTTAATTAAAAATTTTCTTTGGGATAAATCTTTAAGGAGATAGAAAGAACTCCACAGAAGCCTGAAATCCTACCCTGATAATATCCCCACTTCTATATATTTCCTTGCACCATTCTTAGTCAAAGTTTCTGTAACAATTATTTTACAGTAGGCCTTCCCTAGAAATTTTGGCTGTTTTTTTTTTTTTTAAACCAAGCTTATAATAAGACACACTCAGGTCAGTGTGGATACAAATTTAATTATTGAGAAGGTGAAGATTTTTACTTTGTCACTCATGATTTCACTTTCTTGACTATATGATTAGGTAGATGGATATATGTAGGCAAGAGAAAGCATAATAAAGAGAATAAAGTGACATATCTATATCCTTATTTCAACTTGGCCACAAAGAAAGGACTTCTAAACAAAAAAGATGCATATGTGGGGGTTAAGGGGGTAGGAGAAGAGTAAATGAAGCAAGATGGGATTGGGAGGGAGATAAACCATAAGTGACTCTTAATCTCACAAAATAAATTGAGGGTTGCTGGGGGGAGGGGGGTTGGGGGGGTGGGGTTATGGTCATTGGGGAGGGTATGTGCTATGGTGAGTGCTGTGAAGTGTGTAAACCTGGCGATTCACAGACCTGTACCCCTGGGGAAAAAAATATATGTTTATAAAAAATAAAATAAAAAAAATTAATTAAAAAATGCATATACATAATTTTTGTCACTAATAAAAAGGCAATATTTTCCTGCTCCACTGAATGACAAAATTATCTTTTTAAAAAAGTTTAATGTAGGGGCGCCTGGGTGGCTCAGTGGGTTAAAGCCTCTGCCTTCAGCTCAGGTCATGATCTCAGGGTCCTGAGATCAAGCCCCGCATCGGGCTCTCTGCTCAGCAGGGAGCCTTCTTCCTCCTCTCTCTCTGCCTGCCTCTCTGCCTACTTGTGATCTCTGTCTGTAAAATAAATAAATAAAATATTAAATGTTTAATGAAGTCTTATCTCACTAATAATAATCACTAATAGGACCTAATATTTGTCAAGCTCTCTCTTTTAAAAAAAAATATTTATTTATTTGATAGAGACACAGCGAGGGAGGGAACACAAGTAGTGGGAGTGGGAGAGGGAGAAACAGACTCCCCGCTGAGCAGGGAGCCTGATGCAGGGTTCAACCTGGGGCTTGATCCCAGGACCCTGGGATCATGACCTGCGCCCAAGGCAGACACTTAACAACTGAGCCACCCAGGCGCCCATGTCAAGCTCTTAAAACTCCACAAAAACCATGCAGATAAGGAGAAATGGTTTTCCTATTTTACAGATGAGTAAAACCTGAAGTACAGAGATGTGTGGAAGGCTAGCAATTGACAGAAGTGGGATATGAACAAACAAATTAACTTCTGAGGCTTTAGGAACTATGTTTTTTTCTTATTTTTGTTTCTTAGACTAGAATGCCATACTGCAGGTAATAGTTGCTTTGAAGCTATGTTTTACGAAGAAATAATAGTTTACAAACCAAAAGAACAGCAGCAACAACAACAATAAAATATCAATGATAAATACAGTATAATATTAAGGACCACATGAAGCAGTTATAGCTGTAAATTTACCTTAAATCCTATGATACCCTGAATTGGTAGACTAAGTCATTTAAGTTATGAGGTATGTGTAAAGCTACCTTTGCATTTATCACCTGAGACAGATATGAGTTAGTCAGCACTTATTCTCAGACTAATGAAAAAAGTAAAACAAGGAATCATAAATGATTTGTTGGTTTTTCTTCTAGTTTTGTGTTGTAAACATGTCCTGTCTACTGAAGAGCCTCAGAAATTTTGGCAAACCTACTGGTGATGGGTTGAAGAAAGTCGCCCCAAAATCCTTTCTCACCTAGGACCTCAGAGAATGATCTTATTTGGAAATTGGGTCTTTGCAGATACAATTAATTATACTATCATTGATTTAAGGTGGGTCTTCAGTACAAGGGATATATTTATAGAAGAATGGAGAGGGATACACAGATACAGCAGAGACAGCAACACAGAGAAGAAGGCCATGTGAAGACCAGCAGAGACTGGAGTTACGCTACACCAAACCAAGGAACCCAAGGAGCTACCAGAAGCTGGAAGAGGTAAGGAAGGAATCTCCTGGACAGCCTTCAGAGGGAAAATGGTCCTACCAACACTTTGATTTCAGACTCTGGTCCTCCATAAAAAAAAAATAAATTTCTGTTGTTTTACATCACTTAGTTTATGGTTGTTACTGCAGTCCCAGGAAACTAATACAATGGGGTACAAAGATCTGGCTCCTTGACTTATTTAGGACAAACTAATAGAGTCATTTCAGCTCCAGAACCACCCAGAGGATCAGCTTAGACCCTTTTGTCACTGCCTCACAATTCAGCTTCTTATTCTGCTCAATCCTGCAACTCTTACTACTTTCCGTGTGTTGTTTCTGAGAACATTCCCCAATAAATCTGTGCTCTATCCTCTCCACAGTATCTGTTTCCCAGAGAACTTGACCTAATATAGTGATGGCAGGAGTGCCCTAGGAAGGAGACTCTAAAATGATATTCTGGAGCTAGATCACCAACCAGCTGGCTGCCCAAGATCACCTCATCACAGGGAGTGAGTAGAGTACCGATGGTCCCTAGCGTACACCAATGATTCTTAATCTCATTAGTAGTGAATTGGATGACTTACCAGTGGAAGGAAGGTCACTGGTTTGGTGGAACTGGAAATTATATGGACTATTTTGGGGAAAGTAGTAATTATAAGGACCACGGAATCAGGTACCTCTTGCTGGGTGCTATTAATGCATTGAAGAAAGACAAGATCTGAAGGTCATCAATTCAAAGCAAACTGTGAAAACCTTCTTGGCAGTACTGGTTCTCCAAATTCATAGCATCCTATTAAATGAATTAGAGAAGCAAAACATGGCAGATATGCAGAGGTCCTGATAAGTATTATATGCTCCAAAGAATAAGTGATCAAGTTTTTTAAAAAAATTAAGTGTCTGCCACATCGGCAAAATTTTTAAGGGTCCATTGGCCTGAGACATGCTAGGATATCCTTTCCAAAATAAAGGTAAAATTATTGCAATTTGCACTTACCACTAGTAGGAAAGAAACAGAATGTCCTGAATGCCTTCTTAAGTTCTGAAGAGAACATATTCCACATCTAGGAATACTATTTTTGATCAAGTTACTGAATACTGTGGAGTACTGCTAACTATGAGTGTTCCCTAGGGCTGGAGAGAAATCTCCACAGGTCAAGCCTGTGCTACAAGCAGCCAAAAAATTGGGGACATAAAGCCTACCAGGTCCTGTGGTATCAGAGGTAACTATAGAGGAAAAGATGTTGTGAGACATGTATGGCAAGCCCTCAATGAGAGAATCACAAGGTAGACTCACAGGATGTGGAGCAAGGTCACATCACACAATGGAAATTAAACACCATTTGCTAGAGAGCTCCTGGCTGGCTAGTAGGCCTTGGTAAAAGCAGAGAATATGACAATCAGCATCAAATGGCCATGCAGCCAGAGCTACCCTTCATGAGCTAAGTTCTGTCAGACAAGCCATGTCTTAAGAGTAAGTTGGTCCAACAGAAATTCATCATGAAATGGTAGGCAATATCTAGTAACAGGCATCATCAGAGTCGGGAATAATATCCTGCGCAAGCAGGTTGCCTGAAACCCCAGGTCAGTTACCATCGTACACTGACTGCTCAATCTCAGCTCATACCTGTGATTTCTCGGACTTCCCTCAGGAGCTGAGAGACCAGAAAGATGTGACTTGCTTCACAGAGGGGTGGTCTTAGTGTGGCTGCAAGTCAAAAATGGGTGGTGGATGCTCTATAGCCCCACCCAAGGATGGCCCAAAACTCCAACTGTAAGAAGAAATCTGCTCAATGGGCAAAACTTTAGGCAGTGCATCTGGCTATACATTTTGTGTAGAAAGGGAAGAATCCAAAGAAAGAACACATCTCAACTATATGGCAGTGACCTGAATGTATTGGTCATGGGCATGGTGGAGGGAGGGAAGAAGATTGGAAGATCAGGAACCAGGAAGACTGGGAAAGAAGAATGTGATGGACCCATGAGAGAGACTGTTACATGTGAAGATCTCTTATATTGTGCTAATGCCTGCCAAAGAGGGTCTTCCTCAAAAGAGGTGCTAAACAGCCAAGTACACAGAATGACTTGCCCACTTAACATCAGCCACCTCTGTCATTGGCCACCATCATGGTGGTAAAATATGCTAATGGAGTACATTGACCAAACCATAAACTGGAGGGAAACAAGAACCTCTCCCCCTCCGGGATTATTATATACAAATCAAGTGACTTAGTCCACGTACACAATAAAGCCTTCATAAGTTAGTTATGATTATTATCCTCATTACTGCTGGCTGGAGTATGAATTACTAGAAGACAGTAAGTCACTGCATATCCCAAACCTTGACCATGTTAACCTTTGCTGTAAGTTGTGATAAACCCATTCCTCAGAATTCTCTTCTCCTTGGAAACAGAAATATGCAAAATGTATATAGAAGACATTCTTATCAATGTTATCTATATTTCCAAAAGAATTAATATAAATATCAACTAATGGTAGGTTGGTTGAATACATTATTGTAAGCCCAAATAACATGACAGTGTACAACCACTGAAAGTGAGCTCCTTACAAGATATTTAAGGGTAGATGTTAAGTGTAGAAAGCAGATTTTATTAAACAAAATTATATCTATTTTGTTTTAATACATGCTTATATTAGAAAAATAAGTGCTAGAAATAGTGCCTTGTACACATGGTATATTAAGAAGCAATGCCACAGGTAAGGAATATGTAAGGGAGAATTTGGTCATAGAATTCTGCAAAATCAGAAAATGTCAAAAGGAAGAGAATTCCATTCTAAGATACTAATACCTGTGACAATGCTGCCGGAAGAGATTGCTGAGGTGACTGTTCGGAAACCATATTGACCTTATACCCCACCACTTCTCCTCTTGTTGCATTCTCTGCTGGCTTCTCCCAGGACACATTGAGGGAGTGAGGTGAGAGTGGGAAGACAGAAGGAGGGGTCATGAATGCCGGCACTGTCAATGACAAGAACACAGGCAGACAATAAACACTGTACCTACAGGTCTCCAGATGGAACTCATACACCTACTCTTGTTTCTGACATAACCTTGTTCCTTACATAATATCCTGATTTCTAAACATCAAAGGATATACTGGTGTTTAGAAAAGCTAGTTGCCTTTTTTTTTTTTAATTCTCTGCAAGGTTGTTCTCTATCCTTATATTCCTAGCAGAAATATTTTCGATCTACAAAAGAAAAATCATTTAGGAATTTGCTTATTTTCACCAAGATAACTACTAGATATGGTAGGAAAACATAGGTACTATGAAGCAATTGAAAGGAGAAGTCATCAAAACTGAATCTTAGTCCACAGAGTCCAGAACAATGCATAGTGACATATTGGATTTTTGATGTAGAGATGTCTTTCACCGAGCCACACTGATACAGCTTGGAGAATATTACTCCTCAGAAAGAGGTAAATCTAAAATGTTCTAAATAACCCCAAAGAAATTTTTAAAGTTTTCAATAAATCTTGATTGAAATGTTCAGAGTATATACGCACATACATTCTCCCCCTGCCATCCTTGAGATCTTAATATGGATTTTAAATGTGCTAACCAAAGGTGTATTATCAAAGGACCTCATCGCACGTTCAGTAGCCAGTGACCCATAAGATTATGAGGGTCCAGTATTGCATTTTCACCCATTACTTTTCATTTCTGACCTTGATTTTCCCCTTCCAGAATGCCATGGCTCATCACTTGTGCTATCATGGTGCTATTATTTGTCCAAGATGGCTGGTAGTCATTAAGAGATGCTCAAGCACAATGCACATTTTATTCATGAAATGATTCCCTTGGACATCAACCTAAAGCTACCCTTATCCTCCCACAGTCCTAACAGTTCCAATTTAAATCAGGACTTGGGTTTCTTTGAATATCCATAGATTCAAAGCATAACAAAGGTATCTTTTTTTGGTTAAAGGCTCATGATATTTGAAGTGTTTTAACGTTTTAATGAAATTGAAGGGGGGGCAAAAATATATCATTTGCTATAGTGAAGATATCTTAAGAAAATTAAAAATTTTACTCTCCTTCCTTACCATATTGCAAACTGTTGATAAACAAATTTGTGAATTACAGATATTGATATCCAGGATTCTATCATTAGGATGGAATCTAGTACCTACACTATTTGCTTTGGAGAGAGAAACAAAAACAAAATAAGATTTGTGAAATTGGTATCATTATCTCTTTCAATGAACATAAATTGTGCTGAGTTTGGAGCAAGATAGAACACACTGCCAATCCACTTCAGGAATGAAAACCAATTATGATTTTTGGCAAACATTCCCCAAAGAGTATGACTATAGTTATTTTTCCCCTTTGAAGTAATAGCTAAGGCATTTATTTTTTCCCCCTGAAACTTACTGCAAGTTCTTTATGACCTTGAGATATTTACATAACCAACCAATATAGTCAATTTTTCCTTTGCCTCTATAAATTTATAATTCTTGCTTTTCAAAATGTACTTTAGTGCTGCTGACTTTCATTTGGAGCAATATTTTCATTTGGGAATCTTCAAAGTAGAGTTCAAAGCATTTTTCTTCACCTGATTCTCCCGTTCTTTCTGAAGTCCAGGCAGAAGACACACTTCCAGCCATGTTCACAGCCAAGACTCGAAACTCATACTTGGTGTATGGCTCCAAGGCAGTGATGGTTGTGGCTGTTTGAGGAGGGTTTAGTGCATTTTCATTGGCTGATTCTGCAAATGGGTGAGGGCTGAACCAGCCACTGCTCTGAAAAACTCGACTTTCTGCTGACGTTTCTCCATCGGACTTCATTTTTTTCATGTAGAGTTCATATCTTATAATTATCCCTAGAAAGGTGAGATAGTGAACAAAGAAGACTCATCAGACAGTTCTGGGGGTGTTGTGAGCTTAGGCTGACTAAAAAGTACCAGCTTTGCATTGTTTCTGACTAGATTACCTGTCCATTTCTTCAGTAATCTAGATGACGGGATTTGTAAAAGACAACAACTGATGGACAGATGAGCGTATGTGATACTGCTGAAACATATTCATGGGAAAAACAAACCAAAAGGGAATGCATAAACACAAAATAGCTTTAACTTACTACAGGTAAATTCAATCCCTTTCAGAATGAATTATCATAATTTCTACTAAGAACTGCTTTTGTGGGGAACAGATTTGATCATCGCACCTCCAATTTATATTTATACTTTCAAATTTGGGTATTTTAATTTTATTATCTATTTAACACAAGCTCTTATTATATAAATATTAGAATATTAAACTTGATCTACCTAGTCTTCTCAAATAACTTTAAAAGTCTGAGAAAAGAGGTTTTGCCATCGTACGTACATGATATTAATTACTAAAAATCTATGAATTTGTGTCTGGCCTATATAACCAAGGGTTCAATTGTATGAAGACAAAAAATTAACTTAATGGAGTCAGCTAGCCTATATACATATTTTTTGTAGTATTTTATATCCTTTTCTTGCTTAAAAGAGAAAATTTACTGCTTATGGGTGCCCTAACTTGTGACACAGTCAAATATAATGCATTTCATAAGTGAGTTTCAAAGTAGAAACGTCGTTTGTGTTGTGACAGATGTCATTAAGAGCAAAGATAATATTAGCCTTTTAAGGGGCAATTTAAATGAATGGAATTTTTTATTAGATTAAAGAAATATACTCTTTCTACTAACCAGTATAAATAGTATCTGATATCTTTAGAAATTTTCGATTATTGTAACCTACAGTTACAAAAATGGATACAGTTGCCAGATTCTTATTGCACAATTCCAAATGCCTAGATTCTCATTCATGTTTTACTCAAGAAAGGGAAATCTAAGCCTTGAATTCTTACCATTTGGTTCCACTGGGGGAGACCATTCTACATGAAGCTCTGTGGAACCGATCTTCTGCACCTCGGGTGCGCCCAGCCTTTGGGGAGGTGCCTGGGCTGTGATCACCATAAGGGGTGAGCTGTGTAAACAGCCCCCACTAGTACACGCCTGTACAGAAAAATGGTACTTGGTGAATGGAACCAGATTCCAGATGGTAGTGGAGGTTTCATGACCTTCATAGGGAACACATGGCTCATTGCCACTTAAAGGAGCACAGGACAAAATATATTTCTCTATAGGACCAGAATGATTTGAAGGTGTAGTCCAGGCAAGTGTCACAGAGTCTGAGCCAACAGGAAGGATATAACTTAAGTTCAAGTTTCCTTCTGGGACCCCTGGTTTCGTCTTGTATGTGACAGGTGCGCTCCTTGTTGAACCATGCACACTGGCCGTCTCGATGTAATAGGAATATGAAGTATATGGTGACAGGTCAGTGTCTAAGAAGTACTGAATATCTGAAATTAAAGGAAGAAAAGAGTCATATTTCAGAAATCGGTAAGGAATCATTCCTAATTGTTTTCCTATTTGTATAACTTAATCACATAAACTATACAATCTGCTCTTTTGAATAAGAGAAAGGTTTGGATTTTTAAAACTGAAATAAATTCTAATTGCTTTTACTGTACAGTGTAACATAAGAGAAGTGCCTCTTGTCATGAAAACTATTTAGAAGGTTGTTTAAACTCTTGTTCTTTCTAAAATACAGTGTCTTTGGGGCGCCTGGGAGGCTCAGTGGGTTAAAGCCTCAGCCTTCGGCTCAGGTCATGATCTCAGGGTCCTGGGATCGAGCCCTGCATCGGGCTCTCTGCTCAGCAGGCAGCCTGCTTCCTCCTCTCTCTCTGCCTACTTGTGATCTCTGTCTGTCAAATAAATAAAATCTTTAAAAAAATAAAATAAAATATAGTGTCTTTTTTACAGAAGATAAAAGAGAAATTTCTGGCAGTTCTTTGAAACAGAAATGGCAGTTTCTTCTATGTAACTTGTTTCCTTGTTCAACAATATTGTCCTGGACCAAGGGTTGTCAAACTGTTTCCACAGGCCACATTTGTCACCTGGCCAATACCTTTACAGGAACTTTCTCTAAACTTCTGATCCACAAAAACAAAACTTATAAATGATTATTGTTATTTTAAACTGCAAAATTTTGGAGACATTTGTTACCATCACTGGAGAACTGACACAGGTGAAGTCTGGGTTTTTAAAAGGATTAAAAAGATACAGTGTGGACATGGTTAGGCATGTGCCTGGAACTTCCCATTCTCTGAGGGGACAGGAAGTATATTGCAGGGCTGTGACACAATGCACCAGCTGGTCAAGGAGAAACATTTACAGGTTCCAGCTTCACTGTTACAAAGCAGGCAGAGCAGGTTTGAGAGGCAGTAAACCGATAACGTATACAAGCATATATTCAAACATATTGTATGACACTGTGATCTTTGATTGAATTTTTGGGAAACATTTCCTCAGGAAGCATAGAAAAATATAGATGTGTTATTTATAATAGGAAATGTTGAAGTAAATTAAAGTGGAATTTAACAGGTTATAATACTTTATATTAATATGATACATTAATAGAATTCCAATATCATATAATAATTTAAAAACATAGTGATGAAGGCCACTTAGCAACATGAGAAGAAAATACCGAATATAATAGTACAAGTACTTGAATATTATTATGAAAAATAAACTGGAGTAGACACTACTCCAGAAGTTTTCTGAAGTGAAATTAGTCATCATACTAGAATGCTGCAATTGTGAGGCTTAAAAAATTTATTTTAAGCTTCCTTAATGGGATATAACACTTTTATAAGCAAAAGATCTATACCAACAACAAAATCACTTAGACAAATTATTGCACAAACACAGCCTGAGATTCCTCTTTGGAGATGCTAATAATCACAACCATATGCACTGATTAATTTCTTTTGTTCTTAAGACTTTTTGTTTATTTATTTGTGAGAGAGACAAAGAGAGGGCACACAGGAGCAGGGGAAGGGCAGAGGGAGAGGGAGAAGCAGGCTTCCCACTGAACAGAGAGCCCCACGTGGGGCTGGATCCCAGAACCCTGGGATCATGATCAGAGCTGAAGTGAGACGCTTAACCAACTGAGCCACCCAGATACCCCTGTACTGATTAATTTCTTTTCAAGTATGCTTAGTATCAAATAACAAAAATGCATTCCCATTGATATCTAATTCTTATCTCTCATATTAGTGAAATTTTCTATTATAAAATGAAACCAGGAAACAGTTACCTTCTGAGAACCTAAGTAATCTGGGAAAATCCAGATTCATATTCTCCTACCTCCTCAACTTTCCTGCAATCCAAAACTGAAATGGTTTCAGGGCACAGAGGAGTTGGTATTCAGTTTTTTAAAAAATGTACTGAACATGCTTAAATGAGGTAGGAGTGGGAGAATATTATGAGACTTCAGGTTTTCCAGGATGTAGAAGAAAGAAAACTAGCCATAATTTCCCATTAGTATCTTGTGTGTGTGTGTTTGTGTGTGTATGATATGTTAGTATATATTGTATATACAGATATAGATATATATCCCTTAACACAACCCTTCTCACATTTTATTTTTATAGTTTGATGAATTGTCTTTCCTTAAAACTAGACTTAACACCCTGGGAACCCAGGACCAGGTCCTCCTTACTTGCCACCATATTGGTAGCACACAGTAGAATCTCAATAAATATTTGTTGAATCCATCCATAAAGCTGATACATCAAATTTACTTTGCCTCTTTAGAAAAAGTGATATCTTCCACTAGAAAGATTTGATGAATGACATTTACTGTGCTTCTTCAGAAAAAGTGATATCCTCCACTGGAAAAATTTGCTTGGGATATATTGATAGTGGTTGCTAAGTACTTTCATTTTATTAATTATTCAAATGACTACTACATTGGTTTTCAGTATATTATCTGAACATCATACTTGTTGCTCATAACAGAATATTGTGATCATAATTAAACAATAGGGGAAATTGCCTGTCTATAATAGCCAGGGTGTAGTTCCTATAACATATATTTCTGGCATATAATAGTAAATTCAATAAATACCTATTAAGTTAAATTTATCTGCATTCCACATGAGAGTGTTTAAAATATTCAAAACATTTGAAAAATCACTGAAGGTGTGCAAACTGATAGAAAACATTGTATTTAACAATGTCAAAAGCCAAACCTAAAAGGCAAAAATAAATATCAGTGCTTAAGATTCCAAGAGAATGGCACACACTTAAACCGGAAGTTGGAAGATACATAACCTGATGATAATTAAGAGAAGTTCAGTACATACTTGATGCTTATAGCACTTGAGAAATGGAATATAATCCTGATAGATCAAAATCTATAAGAGGAGTCTAGTAAGAAATTAGAATAATTACAGAATTGAGATGGCAATATATATTTGGTTAAAAACACTGTATAAACAACATATAGTATGAACTAAATAAAAATAATAAAAAGGATATAAATAGAATTCCCCTTAATTTTATCATAACAACAACAACAACAACAAATTAACTCAGGTTAAAACAACTTATCTTGATCTGGTCATATTCCTTAGTAAGGATAAGAATTTCCTCTATCTTTCACTTTGAGCTTGGAAAAATTGTTCTCCTACAAGAAGGTTCTTTTTTTTTTTTAAGATTATATTTATTTATTTGACAAGGAGAAAGAACACAAGCAGGGGAATAGCAGGCAGGGGCAGAGGGAGAAACAGGCTCCCCACTGAGCAAGGACTTGACTCCAGGACTCTGGGATCATTACCTGAGCCAAAGGCAGACACTTAACCAACTGAGCCACCCAGGCTCAAACCACAAATTTCTGCACGTTAAGGCCAACATTCAGAATTCTTGGCTCAGCACTAATTCATGACCTCGGCTGGTACCTACTCTGGTCGGCAGTATTTCCCAAATACACCACCCATGAAAGCTACCTGGAGCTGCTCAGTTGTGCTGAATGGACCTCATTTTCTCATACACCCTCCCTTCATGCCTGTTCACATACAATTTCTTCCAGGAAAATCATTCTTCCTTTACTGCAGTATCTGGCTAACCTAGCTCCCACATCACCTCTTTCTTGCGAGATGTTCCATGGTCCTCAGTCTCCCTCTCTGCCACCACAGGCATGTCATCCTCTCCTCCTCCCAGTACTTTCCTAATACTCCAAGTCTATTCTAATTTAACATTTAATACATATTATAATTTTGTCTTACTGTTTTATCTCCCCTCTCAATAACGAAAACTGCTCCTTCCAGGATTGTGCTTCTAGTAACTCATACAGTTCCTGCTCTGGAGTAAACACTGAATAAAATTTTATTGAATAAATGAAGGAATGATTTTTCCATATACAACTGATTGATTTTTCCAGGAAAGAATATTAAGAGCTTTATAGAAACGGTTGATTGGTTTCCTTCCCTCCCTATATTTACTATTCGTTTCTCTGAGAAACATCTTACCACTTGTTACATCGATCCCTTGATTTAGTATAGAGTAACAAATGGTAATGATATCGAAGGTAGAAATGAAGTCTCAGGGTTCACTAAGATGTATCATCATCTGCAACTCTAAACTATGCTAACGTCTTTAGGCTATGTAAGCAGTGTTCAGGTGTAGAAGTATCCATCCTCTCATTTCTCTGTGAAAGGACTTTTTAGAGTAAACATGTAAGGACTATCCCTCTACCCTTGGCTTCCCAAGTGAGAAATGATTCAACTGTGAATTTGGGGAGAAAGGGGGGAAACAGAGCATATTTAGATCAGTCTATTGATTTTTCTCCCTTCTAATCTGTCTTAGTATGGGAGAGAAGGCCTATTCTCCAGTTCTGACTTTTATCAGTAATGAAAATTTCTTTTATTTTTCATTTCCATCTTACTGAATCCTAGATCTAGTTCTCTTTTAGTTCCAAACTCAAGTAGGAAAACATAGTATGATTTATTGGCCACCCCCTAAAACTACAACACTATCAAATGAGTTCTATTTCCTATGATAGCTGTTCCCCTCACACCCATCGCATAGGAAACACCTGTGGGCAAACCAGATTGGAGCTACAGGGGAGATAATAGTAGGCACTAATTATGTACAATTCCCAGTGCACTTATTTGACATCAATACCTGTCTCTCCTGTTTTTTTATTATTCAGAAATTTTAAAATTATTCCACTGTTACTTGTGTGTTACTAGTAACTGATAATTTGCAACATTTAAAGATGATAATACACCAGTGTGTCATGATCTTAGGTTGGAAACCACCATCCTAGAGATTCCCATGGTGCATCAGGCAAGCTAGGAAAAGTTTTTATTCTAACAAGGAATTCTATAATGGGCTCAACCAAATGATCAAACTTTCTCGGAAGACAACACTATTAATTTTCTTTGAAAAGTTCAATGATTCTCCACCTATAATTCCAAATGCCTTTATTTAACCCAAAGATTTGTGTTCATCCGACTGAATATAAGTACTGTTTCCTTTCCATATTACACATGCTATCCACACACTGGAAATAGAGTAATAAACATGAGGGTATTATTAGAATGATACAAAGTTCTGACAGTGTTAACCAATTGTTCTTACTGTTCAAATGCCATCATGCAGATAATTTTCACATCATTAATTATAGTGATTGTCAAGAAATGCCAGAAGTGGCATTTTTTAATGGAAAAGAAGGATTTAGGAAATAATACCTCGTTTAATAGGATTATATAAATGTCTGATTAGCGAATGAGTACACATTTATTATGTAAGAAACTGTTATTTGGATTCTATATTAGTGCAATCATGAATAAGAGCCAGAGCATTGTGTTCTCATGTAATGGTCTATAAAATAGATCACAATATGTTACTATGGAAAACATGTCACTGGAATTGAAGGGTATAATTGAAGTTTAATTTTATTATTGAATTAAGCTAAATGGAAAAACGGGGTGACCCTGATTCACAATTTCAGAAATAACCCAACCCATGGTACTGTCATCTTCAAAATCACTTTCAATATTTTTATAACTCTCTTTTCCCCTCTCACAAAAGTTTAAGTTTCAGGACACCTGGATCATGCTGATATTTGGAAGAAAATAAACATTCTAGTAGCAGGTTTTTAGGATGCTTTGCCAACATGGCAGATGTAGACAGATGTTCATTTCCCTTTGCAATCTGCATCATGAAGTTCAGAGTTGCCATTAACTTCAGAGAAGAGCTGGAATACTGGGGAAACATTTAGAATTAACAGAAAGTGGACACAATAATGTAGGTGCATGTCAGTCAGAATTAGGTGCAAAATGTAACCTACCATAGTACATACACAATATAAATATATACTATGTAAAAGTCTTAAATCCAATCACTGTGTTAAAACGAGGCATCTCCCTAACCATTCTGAGGAAGATTATGGAACTTCAGTGCCCCTATAGAACTTTATATGCTTTTCTAACTAATTAAGTAAGTTAAACTGGAATTTGGAAAATTGGGTATTAAAGAGAACAAAATGGAAACTTAAATTAGAATCACTATTCCACTGTTTTTTAAACTAGTTTCTTAAACTAGCTTGTGGCTAAACATGACTAGAAACAAATATCTGAGAAGACAGAGGTGGAAGGATATAAACACTTCTGTTTCCTCATTCCGACTTTAGGGAAACTATTTAAACATCTGAGTGTTTTTTTTTTTTTAAAGACAAGGGTCCCCATACTTTGAATTTTATAAGCTCCTTTAAAATCTTAAAAGTTATAGATGTAAAGATAATCTTCATGGTTTTTCACATCCTTTCTCTTTCAATTTACGTTCATATTATATTCTATCTTTCTGGAAATGGCAGTGTATATATAAAATTGCACTGTTTGCATGAAGGTTAGTGCTCTGATTCTACTTTTTTAAAAAAGTCCATTTTTAACCTAAGAACAACCCATATAATAGGAATATTTGATAAATTGTCTGTAATCCTTATGCTCAGAGAAAACTAAGCTTCAGTTTGTTGTAAGTCTTCCAAAATTTCTACATATTTTTGAATTTACTATAACTCAGGTTATTTGTAATACCTTTTATTACATTACACAGTGTGTTATGGATACTTTCCATTCATTAATATGTAAATTTAAATATTTTATAGGTAATCATATCCCACAGTTCACTTACCAATGTATCAAGATCCTATTATCCAACTATCATAATTTATTGAAAAATTTTTGAATATTTGAATGTCTTGTAATATTTTGTTGTTGCAAATAGTGTAGGCTTGAACATATTCTGTGTCCATTTATGACTGTTCATTTGAGATAAGTTTCCTAAGGGTGCCTGGGTGGCTCAGTCATTAAGCATCTGCCTTGGGCTCAGGTCATGATCCCAGGGTTCTGGGATTGAGCTCCGCATCAGGCTCCCTGCTCAGTGGGAAGCCTGTTTCTCTCTCTCCTACTCCCCCTGCTTGTATTCCCTCTCTCACTGTGTCTCTCTCTTTTAAGTAAGTAAATAAAATCTTTTTTTAAAAAAAGATATTGAGTCAAATGGTATACAAAAGGATATAGTTTCTCATACATTTCAACAATTTATCCTGCATGAAAAGTTGTGCCAATGAACCTACATAGATAGTCCAGCAGTTTATGTACATTCTAACTCCTCCACATCATCAATGTTGGTTGAATAGGGTATTTTTTTTTCATCATTGAGAATTTCATAAGCATTAGGGCTTATCAAATAATAAGCATCTCATTTTTATTGCATCGTTTTGATTACAAGGACATTGCTAGTGAGACTCGTATTTCTGTCTCTACTTGAAACTCTCTGCTAGATGCAGGAAACCACAACATCATTTATCCTCAGTGTCAAAGAACTTAACTAATGTATCAGTTCTTAGAATATTATATCTTTCTATCACCAAACCTTTAAACTTACTGTATGGATACTGATCTTCAGTTGTGTAGACTTCAGAACTGTCCCTGAGTAAACTGTAAGTAAGCCAATGGGCATTTGGAGAATCAGGTGGACTCCAGGAGAGATTGATAGCAGAAGAACTTTGAACTTGTCCTCTGGGTGGAGGTTGTTGGGATGGAGCTAAATTACAATGGAGAGAGCATTTATTAGCAAAGGCAATCAATAAGCACACAAGTAAGCTGAAGTAAGATATCCAGCAAAGAGGTCTTTCTGATTCAGGATTACTTTATCAAGAAGACATGTGGTTTACTAAAACATTAATAAACAGAAGGTACACATCATGAGTTCTCTAAAACAAAGCTTCTTATCTATAAGCATAAAACAATTTTGTGGGTTAATGCATCTGTCATAAACATAGTTGGGGAGTGGACCACAGAATTCTACATTAAGCACTTCTTTTTCTCCTCCTTCCTCCTCCTCTTCTCCTCCTCCCTCTCTCTTCCTCTCCTTCTCCTCCTCCTCCTCCCCCACCTCCTCCTCCTCTTCCTACTCGTCCTCCTCCTTCTTAGAAAGTATCCAAGTATATATAACACTTATTTTCTACTTAATTAATTTAAAAGTTAACATAAATAAGTTATGTTGAAACTTGAAATTTAAGTAACATAATTTCTGGATTTTTAAAAGGAAGTTTTCCATTCCACTAAGCACAATGCCTCATCTTGCTTCACAGAGCACGGTGGAAAAGAAAGAATAATAGTTGGTGATACAAATACTCATGATGTCTTGAATATTAAATATTCTAAATATTAGCAAGAAATAATCTGGTTGTACTATGTGGATATACCCACACCTGCTAGAGGTGCAATGAAGTAATACAATTGCTTCCATGTGGCACCTAAGAGCGTTGGCCTCACTATTTTAGTGATATTTTGTATAATGTAACTACACTATGGAAACATTGTCTCTTATCACTGCATATTTTCCTCAGTCTCCAGCATATCTTCCCTCATTCTGCACCAACCCCCCTCCCTGCCAGAATATGTAAAGGTAAAGGAGAGAAATAAGGTCGAACTATTTTTTTTTTAAAGATTTTATTTATTCATTTGACAGACAGATCACAAGTAGGCAGAGAGGCAGGCAGAGACAGAGAGAGGAGGAAGCAGGCTCCCCGCCGAGCAGAGAGCCCGACACAGGGCTCCATCCCAGGACCCCGAGACCATGACCTGAGCCGAAGGCAGAGGCCTCAACCCACTGAGCCACCCAGGCACCCCAGTCTAACTATTTTTTTTAAGGACAATCAGCCACCAGTTATTTATTACCTCCTGGCTTAACAAAGTGCATATCCTACTCAGAGTTTTTCATTAAATAACATTTCAAAGGTTTCTGTGTTACCTTACTTTAAAAAAACCTTTAATGTTTTTGTTAAGAAACTTCCAAAAATCATGTGTAGAAATGAATCAATCAAATAATTATCAGTATTTTTATATGAAGTATTTGCCCTCACTGGGTGATATGGTTTCAGAAGAGGAGAAAGAGTACATTCGGATTAACTAATGTAATAAAGAGCTTGATAAAGAAACTATTTTCCAAAGGGTAAGCAGAGTGTGTAAGGAAACCAAAAGAAATAAAGCTGTACTCTGGGGTATAACAGTAGAGCTCTTTCCCTATTTACGCCAGGAGTCCTCAAGACCACCCCAGGTTCAATGATTTGCTAGAAAGTCTTGCAGGACTCATCATATAGTCCTACTTGTGGATAAAATTTATTATAGTAAAAGAAGAGAGTACAATCAACAAAGGGAAAAGTATGTGAGTAAGTCCAGGGGAAACCAAGCACAAGGTTCCAGTCACACAGGATATGCCTAATTCCCCGGCCAATGTTTTATGAAAATATGTGGCATGTTGCCAACCAGGGAAGCTCATTAGAAACTCAATGCCCAGGGTTAGTATGGGGGGCTGTTTATGGAGAGAGCTTCTGTCTCTATGAACAACCTCCCAAATTCTAGATTCCCAGAAGGAAAGCAGGGTTAAGCATAAACTATTTGGTTGGACAAAGTTTAAGAGATAGTGAGCCACTCTTACCTGTTCTGGGGATGGGGAGACCCTCTCAAAAAGTCCAACTTCCAAGATGTCATCCAAAGACCTTGTAAGAAGGTCTTTCTACAAATGAACAGTCAGACCCGCTATGTGAGCTTTTTTCTAGCACACTATCCCTAGCTTAAAGGATCACAGCACTCGAAGACAGAAAGAGCTGTAGGAGGGGCGCCTGGGTGGCTCAGTGGGTTAAAGCCTCTGCCTTCAGCTCAGGTCATGATCTCAGGGTCCTGGGATCGAGCCCCGCATTGGGCTCTCTGCTCAGCAGGGAGCCTGCTTCCCTTCCTCTCTCTCTGCCTGCCTCTCTGTGTGCTTGTGATCTCTTGTCTGTCAAATAAATAAATAAAATCTCTAAAAAAAAAAAAAAGAAAGAAAAGAAAGAGCTGTAGGAAAAGCATCATTTGGCAGGAGTTGTGACTAATCATGGCAGGATACAACTACCTCAAGACCACCTCAAGACCCCTCCTATACTGCAACAAGAAGCTGAGGATTAAATATTCTAACTTCCCTTTCTGCCAGCCCTCCAGATGATTGGCAGGCTCCCGCTAGTAGCTGAAGCCAATCGAAAGTCAGAGGGCAAGGGAGCCTGATGATGCAGACCATACACAATCTTGGGGCATAGAGTAGGGTAGGGAAGTATGGAATAGAAAAGTGAAGTTATCTTGCACACCAGGCAGAGGCTTTCAACTAAGAGCTATTATTAATTCATCAGCATTCGTGAGGGATACACCCCACTTTGAAGACATGATATAATCCAATAATAATATTTTAAGAAACTATTTCAAGGGCACTGAATTTGAAATAAATAAAATTCTATATATTATGCATAGGCTTCCTAAAGACAATGTCTCTAATCTTAAGGGAGATAATATTGATGTCATGTTTTTAAAGGAAAAATATTCAAACTTAGATACACTCTCACTCTTCCTCTTTATCTTTGCTTCTTCTTTAGAATTTGCATTGTTATATTAAAACTCTGTCCATATGCCTAGTTAGATATAGGACAAGAATAGCACCAATCTCAAAATGACACAGAAAAAGAGAATCATTTCCAAAGAGGACCTTCTACTTTTGAATTTGGGAATTTGCCATATTTCACAGGTTGTTTGGATTGTTGAACACTGACAGTGCTTTTGATCTGTCAGTGATTTTTAATTTAGGGCTCCACATCCTGTTGTTCTTGGTAGAACCACAAAGACTCATAAACTGTCTCCTTTGTAACACTCTCAAAGAGCTTTGTATTCTATGGCAATTGAATATTTTTAGTGACTATTAGTGACAACATCTAAAACTCTGCATGCTACCAGGAACACAACAGATTTCAGAGATAAAGCAATCAAAACTGACCTTCAGAGTATTTTCTAAGACAGCGACATACTTTTGGGATGACTGAAAGATATATGTTTCCATCCCATGTCAAAGGGTATAGAAAATAATTGGCATTACTCGAAAATTTCATTGGCAACAAGCATTCACATACACAAAGACACAAACAGACTCTTCCAAATGTTTACAGTTGATTACTTGTTATGACCATCTCTAACCACAATCTTGTCCCACCTCGCAGTATAAATGTATAGTGCCTGTTTGACTCTGAAATGAGAATATTCAAAGACCTGAAGGCTTAGATGGTTCAATACCACTCACAGAATAAATATTATGAAATCCTAGCCATAAGATAACCCAAATTCACCCTTTTACATGCTGAAAGGGGAATTCTGGGAAAACAGTCACATATTCATTCATTCTTCAAAACTGCCAACTGTGATTTTTGCATTTCCCAGACTTTCTTGTAAGGAAAGATAGTATCACATTGTGACGACATCCATTTGTTTGGGAGCCATGAGTTTTAATCCTGGCTTAGGCACTTTGGTAATTGTGTGACTGTTAGTCAAAATTTGGTTGGAGTCTATGAATCATTCCTTATATATAGTAAGGGGAGAATAATGTCTAACTCTCGGGGTTATTTTGAGTATAAAGAGAATGTGTATGTTTCCCTTTTTCATGAAAGGCTGGGGACACTGTGGCGATGAGGACAGGTGTCTCGGCTCCCTCTGTCTTTTTTGTCTTGCCATCCTTAGGGGGTTGTCCTTGTTTACATGGTCCCAGGTGGATGACCACCAAGTCCGTATCCAATTCAACAGGAAAGGCAAAAGGAGAGATGCAGAGCATGCCCCATACCTATGAGAGCGCAACCTAGGACTCTGACATATCACTTCTGTCGCATCAATTAAGCCAGAAACTTGGTGGTGTGGAAATACCTAACCACAAGGGAAGATGTGGCCATGAACCCAGTTCCAAGAATTAATTAATAGGAAACAAGTAGAAGCCAGTTACTGAGAACTTAAAAATACCTGAAATGTAAAAATAAAGCAATATCTAGAAAGCTACTAAAAAATTAAAAAGTAAAAGCAAATAGGAGTGCTTCTAATTAGGGCAACAGAAAGAGTTTAGTGATATAAACTGAATGAAATAGCCAAAATAACCACTTTGGGAGCTCTAAGTCAACCACAGGTAAACAAAAAGTTGAGAACATTTACTCTTGAAAAACAAAAACAGGAGTCTGTGGTCTTTTTGTGGGGGTTGTTACCATCATACCAGTTCCATAGTCAGGAGTGTTAGTTTTACCAGTAGGGCTAACTACAAACAGTAGCTTTGGTGCCGCAGGACATGGACTTGATCTGGGGTTGGCAGCAGAAATTCATAGCTTTGCCGCCAAAAATTGGCATAGTCATTTGGGAACAAGAGGGAAAACTCACAGGTTTTTGAGCCTGAGTACAACCTCCCAAGGTAGGTTAAATGGTGAATTTACAGGATAATAAACCAGGAGATACTGGGTATGATAGAGTCATGGGAGGCCTGAAATAAACTCTCCATTGATTCCTCGCTGGCTGGAAAACTATGAAGGGATGGGGAAAAACCATGAGAGCCAGAGAAAAATGAAGGTCAAGGAAGAACTGGGAACTAGCTATAACTCTGAAAACATCCCCCAAACCATACACGTATTGATTGGCAGAAGCTATATGGTCTGGAAGTATTTGAGCACAAGCATTGCCCAGCTATTTGGCTGATTCAGACACAGTAATGAC